GATTCCACATTCTCCTAGAAACTTGAAATCTTTTCATTTGTCTGGAAAAGAGAATGAGATGCTAACTTCTCCCAAAGTAAAATAGTCCATCACTTGGTTTTACTTCCCTTGTTTATGTATCTATTTGTATTTACCTCTCCTGCTGTCTGGTGGCTTTATCCCCGTGCCCGAGCTGCGGGCCTTATCAGGGCCTTATCAACACAGCGATCACCCACCTGCAGTTCAACGACCTTTGTAGGCTCGGGCAGGAATGAGACTGGGTGCCTCCTGGGGCTGTTTACTGCCCAGCCCTCCTGGCTCCCAGCCGTGGGCAGTCCTCTGGGTCCCCAAGGGGTAATGACACTGGTTGGCGTTGGAGACCGAACTTGCCCGCTGACACCTCCTCAATCAACTATGAATGGTCTGGGACCTGGCCCTGGTTTTCTTCCTCCCCCACACATTTCCGGCCAACCCCACCCCCTGCTGGGTGCAGGCGCTGTCCTAGGCCTGGGGTTGGGGGGAGGGGGGTGTCTTTATCTTGAGGATCCTGGCAGGCTGCCTGGATGGAACTGGAGGGGGCTGATGGTTCTCACAGGGGCACCAGGCTGAAAGGCCTGAGGACCTACCTCTCAGTGATTTGGGTCTAAATGGGGACTCGTCTTTAGTCTGGGTCCCAGGTCAGATTACGTGTGATTCTTAATTAAAAGACCGAGGAACGGTTCAGCAGGGTTTCCCGAAGTGCCAGTGGACTGCGAGGGAGTTTTTAATGTCGATACTTAGATATATTTACTGTAAAGAGATATCATGCCTCTGATGTTATGGATGTTATTGCTCAGAACAAGACTAAGTTTAAAAAGTGACATTGCATGGACAATGTAAGGGATCAATGCAAAGTATAGACAGATGTTGAGTAATCGTGAAATCTACCCGAAGTGTGTGTGTGTGTGTTTGCAGGTTGTAAATTATAAAGGTATAAAAAGTATAGATGTAAATCTATATAAAGTACATATACTTAGTATATACACTTAATGTATTTAACATATACATAACATTATAAATGTTACGGTACAGCATAGGGAATGTAGTCAGTAATATTGTAATTATGGTGCCAGATGAATGCTAGATCACTTTGTAAGTTATGTTAAAGATAAATCACTGTTGTACACCTGAAAACTAATATATTGTATGCCAACTGCAACTGAAAAATAAATAAAATAAAATGGTAAAAATGCTACAAATGTATATTGAAATGCAATAAGCGTAAATCTCTATATAAAAATAGGTACTTGAAGTACCTTTGTATTTCATATCCTACTTGATAGCCTTTAACCACACGCACACACAGGACCGACCAATGGAGAGCGGGAAGGGGTGCCCCCCGGAGCTCACGGTTGTCTGTTTTCTCCGCAGCCTCAGTTCTCGCCCGAGGACTGTGCTTTCGAGGAGGAGATCCGCCCCGACGGCTACAACGTGTACCGGTCCCAGAAGCACCAGCTGCCCGTCTCGCTGAGCAGTGCCCGGCAGAGGCAGCTGTTCAAGGCCCGGGGCTTCCTGCCGCTGTCCCACTTCCTGCCCATGCTGCCCAGCAGCCCCGCGGAACCCGTGCACCGAGAGCGCCCCTCGGAGCCTGACGCGTTCTCTTCGCCCCTGGAAACAGACAGCATGGACCCTTTTGGGATTGCCAACAACCTGAGGCTGGTGAAAAGTCCCAGCTTTCAGGAATAACTGAGGCTCCCACCTCCTCCCAGGCCAGGAGCCGCGGCCCGTGGTGCTTGCAGAGTGGCCTTGGCCGTGCGCCTACAAGTACGCCCTGGGCCCATGTTCTATTTAGCTCTAGGAAGAAACATGTAGAACTTGTATATAGACAGTTTGAAATTGGCTGTGCCCGTTTCTAGGGGATAGACTTGTATGATCGTAAAATTGTAAGTCCTTCACCCACCCCCTCCCCCTCCACTTCCCAGGTGCTATCCCAGCTCCCTACCCTGAATTTGGTCATTGCTTTCCATGCAGTTCAGTTCTACTTGAATACCGCCATTGACGGGGAAACTCATTATCTTTGGGGAAGTTCTGAAGCCAGGCTGAGGTTCTCCGCAGATTCCACCATCACCTCCGCAGGGACAGCTAGGAGAAAAGTGCAGGTGGTCAGCTCTGACTGGCAGTGGAAATGACTCACGAGAGAATTGGTCCAGGTCTCAACAGCAAGCCCCTCAGGACAGAATTGACGGGGTGCAGGCGTGGCCCAGCAGGCTTCCGGAGCAGGGGGACCCCGGGACTCCCCTCCAGCAGGGGAGGACTTGAGAACTCCCCACACTGGCTGGTTCTGGATGGAGAACCTGCCAGCCCACTTGGCGGTTCACCTGCTTCCCCTGGCCCTCCCTGCACGCAGCCAGAGCACTTGCTCAGGTTCCCCCCTAAGACCGGCCATTCTGCCACCTGCTCCGCGGCACGGTACCCTCCGCCCTTCCGTGCCACAGTGACGAGTTTCATCTGATTTGATCAGGGAGTGAGTGGGTTTCACATGAGGGCCTTTGAGAGGGACCCTCCCCTTTCCTCAGCTGTTTCCCCTCCCCCTCCCCAGTTCTCCCATCACGTTGGGGCTCTGGCTCCTACCTGAGCGCTGTGGATATTGGCCTAAAAAAAAGCAGGCGCCAAAAGCTGCTTCCGTTTCCTGGCCCTTTTGCCCCGGCACCGGCACCGAGTCACTCCGCATGGGGACTGGGCAGCTTCCAACCTTAGGTGAACCCCACGGTTCATTTGGAGGCCCCAGACCTGGCCAGTAGCTTGTGAAAGCAGCCACGACGTTGAGTTTTCCCAGCACTTAGTTGCCAACGTGATATTTATGACTAATTTATTTTGTTTGATAGGCACATCTCTTTATTTTCCTACTGTATTTATACCCCCAAATTGTATTTATGTGTACACACGAATTGGGGGTTTGGTTTTTTTGGGTGTTTTTTTTTTTTACAGTAAACCGGAGTTTGTATCAAGCGGTGCGTTGTTACGGCCCTGCGTGTTGGAGGAGGGAGGCGAAGGGGAGGCGATGGTGTTTTTGCTGCGTCCAGTACTCTGCACTGCCCTTCTGCAAGCTTTCTTTTTCAATTGCAGTTGCTATTTGATATTTTATATGGGGCCCTGACCAGTGTGGCTCAGTTGGTTGGAGCGTGATCCTGTGCACCGAAGGATCACCGGTTCGATTCCCCCAGGTACCCCGCGTTTCGGGTTCAATCCCTGGCCGGAGTTTGTACGGGAGGCAACTGACTGATGTTTCTCACATCCATGTTTTTCTCCCCGTCTCCCTCTCTCCAAAGGCAATACAAACATGTTTTTAAAAAGAAAACTTAAATATTTTATATTGGTTTCAGGTGTACAGCATAGTTAGACATTGAATTTCTGAAATGAGTCCCCTGATAAGTCTAGTGCCCACCTGGCACCGTACATAGTTATTACAATATGATCGATGACATTTGCTGTGCCGTACTCTACAGCCCTGTGATTGTTCTAGAACTGGCAATTGGTACTTCTAAATCCCATCCCCTTTTCCACCCAGCCCCGCAGCAACCACCCCCCTCGCCCCCGCCCCGTCTGGCAACCATCAGTTTGTTCTTCGTATCTGTGATATGAGTAAGAGTCTGTTTCTGCTTTGTTTGTTCATTTATTGTGTTCTTTAGATTCCACATATAAGTGAAACCATACGGTATTTGTCTTTGTCTGACTTATTTCACTCAGCGCCCCATCTAGGTCCACCCATGTTGTTGCAGATGGCAAGATTTCACTCTTTTTATGGCCGAGTAATATTCTGTTGTATATATGTACCACCTCTTCTTTATCCGCTCATCCGTCAATTAGATAACTTAGATAACGCAAGTTGGGTTGCTTCCCATAAGCCTCTGATTGCTTGCACCACCACTCAAAGCTGAGGGGGCGGGTTAACCAGCTAGTGGGGGAGGCACTGCCCTGCCTCCACTCCTCTTGGGAAGTTGGCCTTGCCCCTTGGCTGCGTCTCCCTCCCCTGCCCTAGGTACTGTGGTCAAGTTTAGCAAACATAACATGCCCCTTTACATTTGAATTTCAAATAAGCAATGCATGTTTTTTTAGTGTAAATATTTCCCATGCGATTTTTGAGACCTACTAAAAAAAAAAAATTACCCACTGTTCATCTGAAATTCAAATTGAGCTGGTGTCCCGCGTTTGCTCCGGGAGCCCTAGCTTTAGGGCCACATCATGGGGCCAAGTGATGAGGGAGGACAGGGCAGCGAGGGGCTCAGCTGCACTCACCTCTAATGAGCTGGGTAGGCAGAGGCTGGGCGGCTGGACCGTGGCTGGCGAGCAGGCTGGGGCGGTCAGTCCCAGGACTGGCTTTGACAATTGCCCCTCAGGAGCCGGCCCAGAGCCTCAGTGAGTCATGTTGGTGAAATCCATCTCTGAGGCCTGTTTTAAGAGTTACAAGTGATAACCTAAGGAAAGGGTCTGACTCACAGTGAGTCCTTATCATTATTACGGAGCGAGTGGGGAAATGAAGGTTCAAGAGAAGAATGTTCTAGCAGCTGTGGAAGGGCAGCAAGGAGTGGATGGCCAGGAGCAGAGATCGGATGGCAGCCGCGGTGGCGGTGTGAGTGGGGCAGGAGCCAGTCCAAAGCACAATGGCGCTCCCGGGTGACACAGGTGCTGGCTCTGGCAGGAGGTGGCTCTGGGCATGGTCCCACCTGGCCTGGTGTGCGGGCTCATCCCATGGTTGATCGGCTGCCAACCACTCACTTTGGCAGACAAGCTACCCAGGAGCTATAGAACCTCAGGGGGGGGGGGGGGGGGGGCGGTGAGAAGGGGGAGGAAAGCTCACTCCATCCCTCTGCAGCCTGACATTAAAATGTATCAGGAATTTACTATATTTATAATATTTATTCGTGTCTTTATTCCGCCTCCCACATGCCAGGATACTCATCCTCCCATTTCACAGATGGGCAAACTGAGGCCCCAGGGGAATCCCACTCATGCCCACATGATGAGCCCGCCTCTCAGGAGCCCAAGAAGCTGGTGAGCTGGACCAGCACCTCCCACCAAGTGATGAGGGTACTTCCTAGTCGGGAACCCCACGTGGGTTCTGTGGTGACTAGCAAGAGCCCCAGACAGGTCTGTCTGGATGTTGCCCTCTAACTGGGGAGTGGGTATTGGGGCAGGAGGAGGAAGTGGCAACACTCCACTGGTCTGGCTCCCAGAAGGAGCCCAGCAGGAGAGAGGAGGGAGCTCCTGCAGGAGGGGGCAGAGTGTGTGTGT